GAGGTCAACAGGCAAGCATCGTATTCTTTGACAGATGAACAGATAACTCATTCAGGAAAAGATCGAACCCGACGAAACCCAAGAAATTTCTTCGACCATCGACCTTACGAACAGTTGAGAGGAGCCTTTTATCCAAGATTACGGGTATAACGAGCTCCACAGCGGGTGAAGTGGTTCGACCATCCCGAAGCCGCTTCTCGCCTGCACCCCGTATCCCCAAGACGAGAGAGGGCGTTGCTGCGTAACTGTGAAATGCTGGACAATTCGTTTCTCGAGATCTCCATTTGTGGTAGCTGTAATGCCTGACCTGTGCTGGACAAAACCGTGACTGCAATTGTCTCAAAACAATACTTCACCAAGAGCGCCGCCGCCGCCACATTTGAATGAAGCTACACCCACACCATTCCTGGGAGGTGGAGCATACATTTAGCCAAAGGTCCTTATCGCCCTGGCTCACAATAATTTCTTCGATCCAACACCTAATTCCGTCCAACTGGCGCGAAAATCAAGCTCACACCAAAAATCCTTAGATGAAAATTGCGACCACTGTAACGAGACCACTATCGAATAAGGAGCCTCACCTAGCGCCTCGCAGAGTGACTCTGATATCAAAACACTTTATGATGGCAAGGTTGGGGTTGGCAGCGTCGCTGTATGCTTTCCCCAAAGGTTCACGTTCATAGCGCAGACGACCACAGTCATCTAAGAAAGAAGAATCCCGTAGAGAAGACAAAGTATTCTTCTAATGGTAAGCCTTAAGCCCGGTGAAAGGAAGGGATGGAAGGGATACGGAGGCGCTGGCGAGTGGTCCTGCAACTAGGTGAGCGCCAAAGAATTCGTTTCAAAAGATCCTCATGGCTACATAAAAGGTTCCAAACACTCAAGAATGCCAATGGGTTTTACATTATTACTAAGTAAAAGTGAGGTAATATAAAGAAGCAAAAAGGTAAGTTTCGGGAGACTTACCCTAACAATGGGTTCATGGAAATGATGAGTAAAACCGTCGCGCTTGAACTCCGACAGGAAGCTGTGCCAAGATATGGTACTGAGCGCACGGTCCTTTGCATCAATAACAACAGCGGATACATGGCATCCTTCGAAGGCTAGTAGTAAGGCTTCGGAAGCCGGATAACCTTAAAAACTAGGATCTTGAGTGAACGAAGCCACAAGGGCAACGAAAAACAAACCTGGTAGCTTTGCTTTCGCGAATGACTGGATAGGAGCCATAAAACGGCAACTGTAAACACATTCTAACTTTGTTTTCTGCTTCCATTCTTCGGTGGCGTCCTTAGGAGGTATTTAATGTGTAAGGGTTTGTCCGAAACAGCCGTAGATATTTGGCACCAATAGTCAGCAACTGGTTTCCTGAAAAATAAGTTTTGAAAAGTGCTGCTTCAAACTTATTAGACACACAAGATCACCCACTTGTACCATATGAAGTACTCACCTTTTCCAGGAAGAAATTTGCCATATGAGCTGAAGTTCACAGTAGTGGAATCGTCGTTTCTCATTCAGAAATGAATACATAGGCAGGCAAAATAAATTTTCATCAAAAGACGAACTCAAGTTGCTGCATCACGCCGGAACGAATCTCTCTAAATCCCAGACAATTCTCGATAAAACAGTAAATTGCTTCTGTTAGCTAGCG